AACACGTGCATTGCACGAGGGCATGACAAGTACCACCAAGTGGGTCCCCAGGGAGCGGAGAGCCAGAGAGCTCTGAATGTGCCCGAAGGCCTGGGAGCTGAGTGAGGATTCCAGGGTAGAGCAGGGACCCACGGGGCAGGCGTGGGCACACCTGGGGCGGGGCCACTCCGAGATGGCAGGTGATACGCGTTGGACCAGAGGGCGCCCCACTTCATTGGAAAGGCAGGGGCAGGGCAGGGGTAGGGGTGGGTGGGGGTGTGGGCGGAGCCTCACCTGCAAGATCTTGCATCGGTCGGACAGGCAGTCCATGTCATCGCAGGGCTGGTACATGCCCAGTGTCACGCAGTTCAGCAGGATGACCAGCATGCTGACACACTCAAACCAGGTGCACAACAGGTCAAGGAGGAAACACTCGGAGGGCTATGGGCAGGGCGGGGGGGCGGGGCAGGAGGAGGGTCTGAACTGTCATAGCCCTGCCCCTCAAGAACACATGGGCATCTCCGTCCCCTGAATAGGTCCTGCCCAGGTTCACAAAGACTTTGGAGTCACACCCACGCAGGGGGGCGGGAGGGGGAGCCCCAAGCCCAGTGAATCACCACCTGCAAGGACCCCCTCCTCCCCGCCCCTCCCCCCTGGAGGTCTTCCCTCAGGCGGGTCCTGCCTCCTCCTCCTCTAACCACCGCCCTCTGACCTTCTCCCCTCTCTGCCCTCCCTCGCTGCCCTCCTCCGTCTCTGCCTGGTTCTCTGGCCCAGGCCCAGGTCGAGCAAGGTGACTGATATTGGCTGTCCTTCCCATGGTGCCCTCTGACCTGCTCAGTGGTCAGTCCAGGTCCCATCTCTGCACTGAGCAGGGTGACCGGCGACTTGGGCCTCCCATGTGGAAAATGTGCAGCATGGTGAGTCAGAACCATGTATGGACAGCGGCTGGGTTTGTAGGGCCGGAAGGTGGCTGCTTTGGGCTGGGGGGAATCAGGAATGATGGCTAAAGAGTTTGCTTTACAGGTGGTGAAAATGTGCCAACCTTGACTTGGTGAGGATTCCGCAGATCTATGAATATACGCAAACCCACTCAGTTGCTGACTTCGCATTTGAATTGCCTGGTGTGCGGATAATACTTCCACCAAGTGGTGTGTCCAAACAACACCAAAGAAACCCGAGAGAGAGCCTTGAAGAAGAACAAAGCTGGAGGAGGTGGACGACCAGTTATCCAGAGCCATGGGAAGACTGGGTATGGCTGGCAGGAAGAGCCACAGCGGTGTCAGGGTGACGCACCAGGCTGCTACCCGTCCGGTCAGAAGTTCAAGACCACCATCTGCTCTGTGGGAGAAAGACAGGGGCTTTCTACTCCCATAAAGAGTTGGAGTCTGGGAAACCCATGGGGGCAGTCCTACCCTGCCCCATAGGGTCACTATGAGTCAGCATGGACTCCACGACAGTGAGTCTGGCCTTGTGGTGTGGAAGGCAGGGTGGCGCTGGCGTGTGGACAGACGAATGGCCCAAGGGAACGGAGTAGGGGAAACCCACAAGCATGAACCAAAACCTGCCCTCCGGTCCGCTCTGACTCAGGGCAAGCCTGAGGGGTTTCTGAGGTTGTCCATCCTCACAGGAGCAGATGGGCAGAGCAGCCGGTGGGCCTGAACCGCCCACCCGTGGTCAACAGCCCCACGCTTGCCCCCAGAGTGCCACCACGGCTCCTCAGATGTAAATTAGATCACTTGATTTATTCAGCACCGTGCAGGAAAAGACGGTCTTTTAAGTCAGTGGTGTTGGGTCAACGGGATGGATCCCTTAGAGGGAAAAAAATAAGTCTCAGTCTCTACCTCACACCGTAACAAGAAAAACAACTCTGGATATTGTGAAGAGATAAACAAAACTTTTTATTAGCGAAAAAAAATATCTTCCAAACGTCACTGGGGCTCTGCAGGCCGCTTCCTAAAGCAGCAGGTGGGGGCAGGGCCTCTGGGCAGCACTCAGAGCCACCAAGTGCCCACCCCGGCTGCCCCTCCGCTGTCCTCACCTCGCCTCCTCTCCCTCCCTTCCTGGGCCCCTCCTGCCCACCCTTTGACCTCTTTCTTTCTTTTCCATTTATTTTATTTTGCATAATACATTTTTAAAAATCATTTTATTAGGGGCTCATACAACTCTTACATCCATACATACATCAATTGTGTAAGGCACATTTGAAAATTCATTGCCCTCATCGTTCTCAAAATAGTTGCTCTCCACTTAAGCCCCTGGCATCAGCTCCTCATTTTCCCCTCCCTCCCTGCTCCCCCTTCCTCATGAACCCTTGATAGTTTATAAATTATTATTTTGTCATATCGTGCACTGTCTGACGTCTCCCTTCACCCACTTTTCTATTGTCCGTCCCCCAGGGAGGTCACATGTAGATCCTTGTAATCGGTTCCCCCTTTCCACTCCACCCTCCCTCCACCCTTTGACTTCTTTCAACACAGCCCCAACCCACCCGATGCACCTATAGCAGCCTACCCCAGCAGGGGGGTGATCAGAGGGGCTCGGGAAGTCACAGCTCCACTCATCTCTACCAGAACAGAAGGCTAGCCCGCCCACTGGAGTCTCCCACCTTGACCAACCCCTCGGCCCCGAAAATCTGTGTCTAGTTGAAAGAGACCAATCTAAGGCAAAGTGGGCATAAGCCACACACAGCATGAAGGACTGAAGTCAGACTCGAGGGTGAACTTCCAGACAAGAAACCTGGCTGAATCAAGAGGCAATGACTAGAGTCGAGAGGTGGTCTCCTTCTCTAAGGAGGGAAGTTGATGGGAAAGTGAGACACCCACATTTATCAGCCCTATCCTTGCTCACCTCCATAAACTAAGCAGCAGGGCCAGGGGACAAGGGGGACGGGGTGTCTCCAGTGCTATAACAGCAATGACCAGGAGGGGGCACTGTCCATGATTCAGGGGACCTGCCTTGAACTCCAGTCTCAGCACTGACTGGGTCTGGGTCTGGGGTCTCAGCCAAGCCTTCCTGTCCACAGAAGAGCCCCTGGGCGCCTTCCCTGAGGGAATGGCAAACAGTGAAAACTATCAACACACCAACACCTTCCCCTGTGCAAAGCCCCGCTGGGTGGGGCAGCCTGTCTCCTTCAGAATGAACTGCCAGGTCCTCACCGTGGACTGCAAAGCCCCGTCAACTTCTCTACCACACGCCCATCTGGCCCCCTTCCACCCTCACCAGCCTCGACGCTGTCCTGCCACACCTCAGGAACACCAGCCACATGCCACCCTGGGGCCTTTCCACATGCTTGTCCCTGCTCCCTGAAGCCTCTTCCCAAGGCTCTCAAGAACCACTCTTTCTGAAACGTAGCTTCCTCAATGCCTCCTCTTAAGATGCTGCCCGCTAGCCTCTCTCTTCACCTCCACCACCACCCTCCCGGGCTCCAGGTCTCCTAGCACTTAGTACACCCCCTTCCCAAAACTAAGCTGAACAGAAAATCCCAAAGGGTAACTCAAGAAGACAGAGTATGCGAATGAATCGGGCAAAGGCCTGGAGGTAAAAAGCCAGGGAGGAAGAACACGCTCAGCACATCTCAAGGTAAAAGAACTGAAGAAAAAATACCGGCCTCCAGTCGCAATACTGGAGGATTCTACAAACAAAATACTGACCGATGCAGGAAGCATGCAAAAAAGATAGAAAGAATACACAGAGGCACTGTACAAAAAAAGGACTAGTCGACAGTCCACCGTTTCCAGCGGTGACCTATGATCAAGAACCTTCCTTCAACCTGAAGGAAGACGTCCACGCTGCACGGAAGGTCTTCGTGAAAAACAAGGCACCTGGAATCGACCGATAACCAACCGAGATGTTTCAACAGGTGGATGAAAGACTGGAAGTGCTCACTCATTTATGCCCCCAAAATTCAGAAGACAGCTGGCCAAGAGATCATACTCATGTTCATTCAGAGAGTGGTGATCCAACAGAATTCAGAAATTACTGGCTAAGATCATTAATAGCACATGCAAGTAAAATTTTGCTGGGAGATAATTCCACAGTAGTTGTAGCAATACCTAAGGAGCTGCCAGAAATCCGGGATGGCTTCAGAAGAGAAACGTGGCACGAGGGAGAGCGTTGCTGACGTCACATGGATCCTGGCTGAAAGCAGAGAAGACCAGAGAGAGATTGTCTTTTTTGGTCTATGCAAAGGCATCTGACTGAGTGGGTCACAACAAACTATGGCTAACATTGAGAAGAATGAGAATTCCAGAACACTTCATAGTGCTCACGCTGAAACTAGACGTGTACCAAGAGGTAGTTGTTTGAAAGGAACAAAAGAAGTGGTTTAAAATCAAGAAAGGCGAGCGGCAGGGCTGTGTCCTTTCACCATACTTATTCCATCTGTATGCAGAGCAAATCATCCGAAAGCTGGACTAGATGAACAGGAACATGGCACGGCATAAGGATGAGAAGAAGGCGTATTGGCCCCCTACTGCAATCAGCACATTGACTGCAGCCTTCGGTGTGCATTACAAGCCAGCGTAAAGACCACCCAACTCCTCACAGCTGAACCAACAGACCACATCAAGATAAAGGAGAAAAGACTGAGGTGAGGATATCATTCTACGTGCGTCCACAGTCAGCGGTCAAGAAATCAAAGGACACGTTGGGTCAATGTACTGCAAGCAACCTCTGTGACGTGTTGAAGAGCAAGGCTGTTACCTTGAAGACTAGGGTGTGCTTGACCCAAACTCAAACCAAATTCACTGCCATTGAGGAGAGTCTGACCTATGACCTCTCAACCCTATCAGACAAAGATTTGCAGTCCCACACACACACACACACCCACTCCCGTGGGTTTCCAAGACTATAAATCTTGACGGGTGTAGAAAATCTCATCTTTCTCCATGGGAGCGGCTGGTGGTTTTGAACGACCGACCCTGCATTTAGGAACCCACTATGGCACCAGGACCATGGCATGTGGAAGTTGGACAGATGATAAGGAAAGTCAGAGAAGGATCACTGCATTTGAATCATGGCGCTGTTGCAGCCCACTGGGAGTACCATGAGTAACAGAAGGACAAACACCTGTCTTGGAAGAAGGCGTTCAGCCAGAATGCACCTTAGAAGCAAGGATGGGTGGACTTCCTCCCCGGACTTTGGATTTGTGGTCAGGAGAGACCAGCCCCTGAAAAGGGACATCATGCTTGGGAAAGCAGAGGGGCAGTGGAAGGGAGCGGAGAGCCTGAAGGGGTGGCTTCAATCACCGGCTGAAACAGAACGACGACGGTTGTCCCGTTTGGATGGTGCAGAGCCCGGCGGTGTTGTGCTCTGTTGCACGTACGGTGGTACATGAGTCGGAACCAACAACAGCAGGTCCAAGGCAGCCTCACAGCAGTAAAACCATGGTGTCGCTATAGGCCCTGT